AACAGCATTCAAATGATTTCTGTGTTGCATTCTAAAGATCAAGCCGACCAGCAAACGGAACACAGAGACGCAAATATCAGTCAGCATTTTCATCACGGACCGATAATGCACCCAAGCAGCCATTCACCACTAAACGGGCACGATTGCTACGTAAACTATGCAGATTCTGTTAACCAAAGGCAGGGAGAAGCTAAGGAAGAAACGGCGAACATCTTGGAACAGCAATAAAATATGCTTCCCTGCTTGAACGGTGACAACCACAGCTCGCGAGCACCGACAAACGTTCATGCGAAACGCAAAAGACAAACGGCAATCGATCAGCCCCGGGATTCCTGTTCGTTTCACACGTACAATCGATAGACGCACACAAAGTTTACATAAGCGTTTTTACTTTATGCAATTTGGCAATCAATTGAAGCCAGAGTTTACAAATTAGGCATGGTAAATGTATGGCCAGACAGTCGGTTGCACAGTGGTAGTTAGCCAAATAGAAGAGAAATTCTGAACTGGGCCTGCTTTCCATTGGAATGCCATAGTGGTCTCTATCTCTCCAGGGCGTTTCTGGCGGACACATACGTCCGAAATGTGGCAGATTTTTGCAGGATAGGCTGAAATTTTGCTCTATAAATGAACATTTACCCAATTTGACCAGGGATTAGCTGATTTCTTGGCGTGAGGCGACTCACTACCCTTCCCACTAGGGCTGAGTAGTACATGTTCGCACACATCACACATTTCAGCATCTATTGTGGAGTGGCAAACAGAGAGGAGAGGTACCAAGAACAACGAGGACATCGTTCATTAAACAAACACTAATTAACTTAGCATAAAATAGGAGCTTACAGGACTAATGAAACGAAATGTTTCCACAGGTTACAAAACCAGCGCCGGCGGTCAATTTGAAATCTTTTGTACAAGGGTCATCAAAACGGAAGTCCACTGGCCTACCCAGGACCCAATAATATACTAGTTTGTCAAATGAGTTTCATTCATTATAACCCCAAGTCTTCTCCATGATCTATCGTTCAAGAATTAAAAAACACCACTATTAGTCTGTTTAACTGTACGGAACAGATACGGAAGTTGGTGCCATCAACACCAGTCGGAGTACTTCATGTCTAGATGTGTAGGCTGGTGCGAGGTACTGAATTGAGTCCGTGTTAAACAAGCCTAAGAATCTGTTCCTCATATGTTTTGATGTTACTAAGCACCATCAATCCAACCCCCAGTAGAGGGACAGACTGATTCCAAATCTCTCGAATCCGGTCAAACGCTGACACGGTTATTGTTCATATTCTGGTCTTATCTTCACCAGCGTTTGCANGTACTTCATGTCTAGATGTGTAGGCTGGTGCGAGGTACTGAATTGAGTCCGTGTTAAACAAGCCTAAGAATCTGTTCCTCATATGTTTTGATGTTACTAAGCACCATCAATCCAACCCCCAGTAGAGGGACAGACTGATTCCAAATCTCTCGAATCCGGTCAAACGCTGACACGGTTATTGTTCATATTCTGGTCTTATCTTCACCAGCGTTTGCATCCGGGTGGACGGTAGAACTCCTTGGCTTATAAAAGGATCGTGGAGCGAAACCCAGCCAGCATAAGCAGCGCCAGGTGAACTCAGCCACGAATGCACTTGTCCTTATTCAAATTTAGGTCATACTGAATGTTCATACTCGTCTTTCAAGCAGGTGATTTGCGTAGGGTTTAATAGGACACCACAGATTTGTGAGTGACCCACTTTGTGAACTGAAAGAAACAAAAAAATGGTGACATACATAGCCCTGATTTCTTTGAGAATGCACAAGCAATCTATACAGTTCCGACAAAGTACAAAGCGATAAGAACGGATCAACGCAAGCAAGCAACGTGTTTTCTCAAAATGTTGCAAGGTTTTAGGAGCCGTCCGTTGAAGTCCTAGAGCTATCCACGTTGTCCTGTACATAAGGGGTTGGATGCTGCCTCCGGTAAGTAATTGTTCAGCTGTGAAATCGTTTCCGTGCCTAGCTGCCATGCCACCCGAAGGAAGCCAGAGGGCTGGGATATCGCCAAGTTGCCTAAGTCTAGACAGAATCAGTTGAGTTTGAGGTTGGTTTCGAACCGCGGACCTTCTGGTCAATACGTTCGCTTCTTAACTACTGAGCCATCTCGATCTCAACATACATTGAGCTATTAAGCTGAGTAACGTTTAGCGAGTGTTTGTACGTCCGAGCACATTTTCATGCTCTCAGCCACTAGATGGAAGGATCATACGACCTGAGTGATTAGCTCGAACACTGGATCTCGTCAAGATCAAGAGCTCTGACTGAAGCCATGAAAACCATACCAGCAACAAACGGCTACGATGGCGCGCGAAGAACCCTCAAACGGGGAATAATGAAGAACTTAAGGGTTGACATAGTGCTTGCAGATCGAAAAACTCGGTAAATGGCAAGGCTCTTGCAACAGGGGACAATCACACTCTGTTCCAGCTCCCCCGATCAACTGATACGAGGAGATGGGTGCTGGTCAGCGGAAATGAAGGGACTTCAGTGAATTCACGGAAACGTCTTTTGGAACGGTGGGCTTAACTCTTTGAATAACAGTTCAGCTTGGCTCCATCAACTCTCTCCTCGAGATGTCTAACTCAATCCGATCGAAACATCGATTTTAGCCCACTATCGGTATACACTTCGCACCCATCAAATGCTGTTGAACAATTGGTTGGGACCGAATCGAGCACCGTGCTCGCGGGTGAACCGATCAACAGGGCAGAAAACTTTTTGCCTGGAAAACTGCTTAAGTCCCGGGGGTCTAGCGGAAGATGAACTGGGAAGGGCGGTGCAGCGTTTGCTAACTTCTGACAATTGTGGCGCCGACGAGACATCAGCTTGACTGTCAAGTGTAGTATGAAAGGCCGCGGTTCGACCTGTCCTATTTTATGAATCAGACGTGGCCGTTGCGTGTGGAAGACCTTTGAAGGTTCTAATCGTTTGGTTATAAGTGCCTCCGAGGCATTGCGCTAACCTGGTAGGAACACCATATCAGTAATGCTGAATTACGCCTGATGGTCTTCCGGAAGTTTATTCTCTCCATCGATAGAACAGCTTGTCACAACCCACAAGTAACGCTGCCTAGGCTATGTTTCGTATCCCAGAGGACCGTTTGCCTCGTCGAGTCCTCTTCGCCCAGCCTTGTATCGGATGCAGACTACCAAAAGGCGGTCAATCTATGACTCGACAACAAGGCATGAAAGCCCTCGCCAGTCGACTTAATCGCGTTGATAACTGCAGTCTTTTAAGATAAAGATCGCGTAGCCAGACTCCGACAGATATGGCTCTGCTACGCAGCCAATGGTGGTCTTGCATGGAAGCTATCGTCAACTTCAGTGTGTAGCTGTTAATCCATGAAACATCGGACAAACATCCTTAATCTTCGACTTCAGGTTTGTTTGTTTGTTCGTTCAGCTGTAGCACGCATTCAGATACCGCAAGGTCCGTGGCTCGAACCCAACCTCTACCTCTCGGCTTCTGTCTAGGCTTCGGCAACCCAGCCTTCGTGCTTCCTTCGGGTGACATGACAATTAGGCACCGAAAGGGTGCTACAGCTGAACATGTCGAAGGCCACAGGGTCTCGATGAAGAGGTCAAATAAGGTACTTACATTTGGCTTAAACCCATTTCTAAGCGCGCACTTTTTAACGAACAATGCGCGCCACATGCCACCAAGAGGCCTCCCTAAATCCGATCAACCTTCAAGATTTCCCTGCTCACCTTACCTGTGTTAGAATTACTTGATCAAGCATCAGCGACTTGTTACATGAACATCAAGCAACCACTTGGTTGGCGAAGCCTTGTGGGAAGAAAAGAGAAGTAATTTGTCCTTTCTGACCTGCGATACACCCACTACCACCGGTACAGAGTCTGCATCCCTCGCCGGGGGATCTATGCGTTTGCATCAGTTTCGTTTTCGTAGACAAACGTCTGACAACCCAGCTGGAAGCCCTTAACGCATGCACCTCAACACCCGCTACAACCCCGTTCTTTTGGTGTCCGTTGATGCCAAATACCGACATCCGGAGAGTCAGGTCCTTTATTCCGACCACATAAACTCACAAGATATACAGGGGAATACAAGGATGATGACCAACTTGTTTTAAATACGTTATAGAGCCGACTGGGCATTCGACTGAAAGGAACAAGTTTTCTGACATGTTTTCTCGCCTTGTACTGCTTACAGTGACTGAAGCTCTTCAACTTTTAACACTGACCTGATGAAATGTTTGACAGTTCCCTTTCTATCGTAAGTGGATGGCAACTGCAACCATTGTGGCCGGTTTATAGCTGACCGACTAATAAATGGATGCCCAACAATGCCATGATGAAAAGCAGCCCAGCGCATCGCGGTACGATCATAAAGCGGTCGTTTAAAGCCAGAGTAAATCAGATGAGGTCGCCTGTACCAATTATCAGTGTGAGGACAAAATAGGGGTCGCATACTTCCGTAGTGCTTGGTACCTTCCGACGAAGACCCCGCTTTCTCCCAATTCCACATAAACAAGGGATCATAAAGATCAATTACGAGCGAAAATATTGAGGCTGATGAGAACATCGCTTTAAAACGACAGGTACAAACGTTCTCAAGATACGCAAAAATCACGATGAAGTCGGCTTTCTCCATCGCCATACTGTTTCATACTGTCTACAAAGCGAATGGAGATGACATCAAGTAATGACGATCACATCAATCCGGAGTGTAGGGGACACAAAACTCGTAGTGTTGGGAATATCGAATCAATATACAGCTTTTTGCCCAGTATAATCTCTCGCGTGCTGAGTCGATAAAACAGTGGCGATGGTGCAATGACGAGTTCGAATTGAATGATGATGTTCAATAACTACAGAGCAGATCAAGGAGCAGCGGATGAGATGTTGAGCAATCGGGGAGGGCACTGATGGAGAGTATGATGATTTTAGATCTCTTGGTAGCCACGTTGACGTCTACGACTGCTGATGACGAACGTGATCAGGGCAATGATGATCATCGCAGCCAAGGCGACGCCCACCACGATGGGGACAACCTTATTCGGAACGTAGTCCGCGGAACATTCACGCACTGAAAGAAAAAAAGACAAATGTTAGGTGTTGAAGTGGGCGTAAAATGCTGCTGTGAAAATAAGATGGCAGTCTCCTGCAGGCAAAAAAGCTGTGGGCTGGAGTTTGAAACCGGATCGAAGACAAATGTTAGGTGTTGAAGTGAGCGCAAAATGCTGCTATGAAAATAAGATGGTAGTCTCCTGGAGGCAAAAAAGGCTGTGGGCTGGAGTTTGAAACCGGATCGAATAAAGGATAAAGCACTTAGTTTGTTACCCGTAGAGCGGTAAGCGGAAAATTGGAGCCCACGAGTGAAGTATAAATCAGGCAAATAGACCAGAGGGGAGAGTTGTTGTGTGACCGTTCTCCGTGAATATAAAACACAAACCAGTTGTTCCGTCAGGTAACGGAAAGTAAACATTCATGTTTGTGAGATGAAAGCGAGAACACTTGTGGTTTAGGGCTGCTCTAATTCAGACGCCTCCAACTTCACACAATCGGTATAGTTGCAGTATTGCAAGCGTTATACGGCAGCAACGTGTCGGCACGAACGCGATAGTGCGTACACCACTCGGAATATCTACAGCAGCAGATAAAACCTATCAGATTAATATGGCTGGGCGAGGTGCTATGTGAGCCCAGGCGACGTCTTTTGGAGAAGGCGCTCACAACGCCAGTTGATCCAATAAAAATATTTTCCACGGTTGGTGCACTTGGAGAGTCCATGCCTGCTCCATTTGAGTTCGTACAAAATCTGTGATAGACTGGTACGAGTAATCAGTGCTGAATCATTTCCTAAAAGATCATCCCCTAAAAGATGATGCGAAATTTCAGAAATTGTTCTACGGGCACACTAGTGTACACAGAACGTACATCATTTAACATCCCTTGTCTAAAAATGTCAAAAAGGTGATCGAATATTTAAATTTGCTTATCAAGATATTCGGAAAAGGATTTGTTTATCCGGCGAAAAAACTGAAGGCTTGTGTATCGGGCAGGTGGTGTGACTCGTACCTCCCCTGTGTGGATTTTCGGTAGCTTGTAAAAGCGTGAAGGTCGGTTGCTTTTGGGATTCGGAAGGGACCAGACAGGCTAACCAAGTTCATCTCTGTTTGGTCGTTGGCTTGACGAACTGGGCAATTTGATTGCGAAGGTTTCATCACCAATCGAGGTAGTGGATTGGGGCGTTGTTGTGCGTTGAATAATGGTGAATGTGTGCTAATATACATGCCGCTGGTTCAGGATGACCTTCCATCACGATCAGCTGTTCTGTCTGGTGCTTCTTTTGATTGGTATGTTATCCAGTGTCCAGATTGGTCGATGATCATGCGACCCTTGAGCTAGACTTCCCCTGCTCTCGTCCAGTGGTTAGTGCTCGACTGGCTTCGGTCGCGGACCTCACTGGGTTCCACTTTGTAACCTTGGTTGACGCAACTCCAGGGAGTCTTGTTTCTTGGCTTATTAATCCGTTAGTACGTCTAGCGTACTGACGGTGTCGCCTAGACTGACAATGAAACGGTTGCGACCGAATTGCCCGGTTAAGTGGACGAACCAACGACCGTCTACACTGCCTGAGCTACGAACATCCCTCTCTGTTTATTGTTATGTAGACAATCGTTTGAGATTTTGCTCTACTGAGCACAGGTATTTGATATGCTATTCGCTGTGTACTGTTAAGTCCATTTTTGAGACGATCAAGGATCTTGGTTATAAAATCAGCTCCGTTGAGTACGGTGATGATGCTTCCCTTGTCCGCTCTTGTGCGATTATATATCCAATTGCCACTTCAACACTTGGACAACACCGGAAGCAAACCGGAAGTACTATTGCTTCAAGAGAATGAGCTTTAATGTCCAGCAAAGGTCAGCTGTGACAGGAACAAAACCTGCACTTAGGAGCCTGTCTGCCGGCATCTGCAAATGAAGCCAAATTCAAAATCATAAATATTATACAGTTGGAGGTCAACACAATCAAACCCCGGCGCCGTGGAACACCAGGTGCTCCAGGGGGAGAGATGACTCAGTGGTTAGAGCGCGAATTACTGACCGGAACGTCCGTGGTTCCAACCCAACCTCTCCATCTCGACTTCCTCTGTCTAGGTTTGGGTAACCTGACATCATCCATACCACGAGGTATGGGACAAGTTTACTGGGCGAGCACGTTAGACCGACGCTTCTGAAACCATGACGCCACCTAATAACGAGCCAGAAAAGGTCTACGGATACTTGAAGACATTTGAAAACGTCAGATATGAGTTGCAACCCTCTTATTTGAGCAGTCGCACCTCAAGCGACGATAGAAGACACACAGAAGAGGTAAGATAGATTTCAGTTCGTTACGGATTGCTTTATCAAACAAACGACACACTTTACTGCTTCCGACTACGGTGAATAAACAGAAATAATCAAAACGTAAAACAACAAAAGGCCGTATCATGAATATTGTATTCCAGCGGAAATCCATAAAGCCCGTTTGGCCACGCTATTTCAAACCTTCACAAACTATTTTGTTCAACATTGGAAGCCCAAGTGTTTTTGGTCGATCGTACCGCCCCGTATACTCAATTCAGTGCCTGAGTTATGTTGAAAACAAAATCATTGCCATACGAAACACTGGGCCGGACCAAGGAATCCCCCGTCTGGGAAAGGGTTTGGTTAATCAATCAGATATTTCCCGTGACAACCGGAAGCATTCATCCCCAGCCAGCTGTTGGGTAAACCAATGAAAACTACTCATCACGATTATGTATAATCATAATTAGCCTGAGAGGCCGAAACAACAAACTTTCCGATCAACAAAAACCCAACTTACTAGATCCGACAAATGTCGGAGTGTTGCCGCTGCGGAATGCCTCAGCTTTCAGATCGGACAGTGTGACGAAAACTTCCGGTTGAACTATTGGATCCTTAACGGATGACGGTTTGGTCAATTTGGAGCTTTGCGACGCCATGCATTGGAAGTAGGATCCAACAGGACACGTGAACTGCGAGCCATTACGTGAGACGTAGTGGATTGCTGGGAAGAAAAAAAAGACTTGAAACGAACCGATGAAAATGTGTCTACAAAAAATCTAGTGAGGAAAACAAGACATGCCCGTTCACTCTCTGACGATACTGGTGTTCACACAAAAACTGACAAGGAGACCCTGAAAGCACATACCATGAACTCGCCGCTACAACATACGTGAAAAAAACGCTGTTATTCCCGAGAGTTTATGAAAGATGTAGATTGACCGACGCAAGACTCACTGAACTCCTATAAAGCGCCAAGGGAAGACAAGTTAGGAATCGTTTATTCCGACTAGGAGTAAAATGAAGTCATCTTATGCCACAACTGGCTAAAGCTACCTCATTACTGAGGAAGTATTTGGACCTCAGCGATCTCCATGGACATGCCTCGTCTCAAACCGACCAACAAAGATGGAAACGTTATACATATTTGTGCAAATTCATATACTATTGAAATAACACCACCATACCGCACGGTGAACACCTGTTCAACGAACAGCTCTTTTATAACGACCAAAAATGCCGCGTATTTTTTTTCCTGCGGCATGCATTCCGGCGTCTTGCACGTGTCGACGGTTTTCGTGAAAACTCGTGTGACACTTTGTATGAACATAATTCAACGGTATCCGAAGCCGTCACGAAGAGGGACAGCAACATCAGTGTTGACATAGATGCATCACAAAGTTTATCTACTAATATTGGAGGCCTTAAAATGACAAAAGGAAAGTGGTGCTGGCCTACTGCAAACATTCTGAGGTGCTTCTACAACTCCAATCACTCAAACCAAACAACCTGGAAAGAAACTGACAACACAGACGCCACCACAGCGATCACCTGCCATTTCTTGTATTGTTTTCAGCCAACCACAGGAGAGGTCCCGGAGACCCATCGTGGAAGGCGTATCACACCACAACACCCAAATTCTTCGTACTATTTCACTCCCCTCTGCCAAGTCATACGTTGTTCACCTCGCGTTTCAGTCATTCTGAAGGAAACAGAGAGAACAATACTCTGGTCTCAGTAGACGGTGTTTCGGCATGTGTGGCACATGGCCGAGTCACCGTTGTTGATGAAACTGGCTGTTTCCCGCGGTTGAAGTACCTACTGCACAACCAAATACCCGTTTTCTAATTACCTCGTTGGGAATTCGTTAACGTTATCCAAATCCAGCAGCACGTCTGAGGTAACGGTGGTCCTGAGGGTGCCTCACCTTTGTTCAGAGACCACGTCTCGCAGCCATACAACAACACAGCCCTTGCTGTGGCCTAGTACAAGCGACACTTAAGACCCAGTTATATGCTCTTTTGACGCCACAAGCGACGCAGATTAGCAAACGTGATTCGGGTCTTTGAGATTCTTGCACATTTCCGTCAAAGCTAATACAGCTATCGAGGCATGTAAAATTCTCCACAACATCCAGTGATTCTCCCTGAATTGTAAGGGGTATGTTGAAGGACTACATGTTCTTAAGCATAACTTTGCACTTTGAAGTTGAAAGACGCATGCCGAAAGACAGCGTTCAGTTTACTGAACCTCCTCTTCCTCTTCGTCTTCAAAGATGACGATGTCGTCTCTACTCAACCGGATTCATGCTTCCACTTCGTCTTCAAAGTTGACGATGTCGTCTGCGTACTTTAGATCGACAAAATTCTCACTAGCAGCGAAACTGGACAGTGGGGTTTTGAAGACCTTCCAGCGTGCGCCTTATTATTTCATGAACGATGAAGTTGAATGAGAACGGAGAGAGTGGACTTCCTGGTTGGACACCACTTTTGTGGGGAAGATTTTATAGAGCTAACCATACATTCTCACACATCCAGAAGCATGTGAATAAAGGGATCGGATTATATTCAAACTTCTGGGGCATACCCTGTTGTGCAAGTGTGGTTAACAGCACTGATCAGTCTACCTAATCGAACGCACCTTTGAGGTCAAGGGATACCAAGATTGTGGGTTGTCTGTATATGTGGCGTTGCTCTAACACCTGACACAGTGGGGATTTGTGGTCAACGCAGCCTGTATTCGGTCAAAATCCTAATTGATCCTTACGAACCAAGGTTTTGCGTGCCACCGTAAGACGACGACGGATTAGTGACGCCTGGAGTTTTGTCACAACAGGAGTCAACCTAACACTTCTGTAGTTAGTACGTTCACAGAAAATGGGCACTATTATCGATTGGACCGGTCTCTGTCTCCCAGATGGACAAGCACTGACCGAGAAGTTCACCACCATCCTTGAACAGACCAGGTGGCAGTTCGTCAGGACCAGCAGCACGATGACGCTTGAGCAGAGATATACACTTGGGCATTTCTGAGTTGGGAGGCGGCCCCATATTCACAGTCCACTATTCTGTTGAAGGCCAGGATTCCGGATTGGGGGGTGGCAGATGACCAAAAGAATTGCTGTTCGAAATACTGTGGCGACCGGTTTGAACGTTCAAGAGTCATTCTGGTCCTTGATAGTTTTGCTGACAGGCTTCCGAAGATCAGTAGAAAGAATCAAGCATTACAACATACGGACGTTTCCAACACTTTTCACATCATCCATTTATTTGTCTATTCATTCGCCTCAAGCTTCTCAGTCTGCACGGTTTCACTTCGCATCGGATGATGCATCTGGTTGTGTTTTGATTACGGTCAAGAGGAATCTCTTGCCCAGTCTCCAGCAAAACCATGGTCATATCAGAGATCCAATGGTTGAATGAGTTTGCCTGGGCTGCACCACAAACGGCGGTTTTCGTTTTGATTAGAAGTGTGGGTATCTGCTCCCAGTGGCTGTTAATATTCCATATCAGATGACCCGGCAGGCGTCAGAGGAACCGGTTCTTAGTGTTTCGTTTGATTTTTGGGCCCACTAGCTTCTCAGTTGCTAAGCGAGTTGTGTGCGTTGTGCGTGGACCTGAAAGATGCAATGAAAGGCAACACCATACAAGTGCATGGGCAGAGTCCACGCTGGTATTCCAGAAGGAGCGGCAGGCAGTGATCAACCCTCGCCACCGATAACTGACGGCGATGTGGTCTAGTTGGATTCGGGGCTGGTTCGTTGGTGGGCACTACGTGATCAGGCGATTGCCGATGTTCAGGAAATTGGTACCGTAAAGGAACAGTCTGTGACCGGCACATATCCGAAGTAGACGATTTCCGTTGTCCGTGTGTCTCGTATCCAACCCAAGAGGACCACCCTATTGGGTGTCAGCAGCGGTTAGTCTACCAACCTGAGCGTTCATGTCACCACCAACTACAACGAGTCTGAGCTTTGAGCCTGTTGTAAAAGAGCCTCACAGACACTGTCTTTGGCAGATTCACAGCTACAATCAGTTGGAGCGTAAGCAGACAAAATGAACGGGTGCGATGCACCTCACTTCCTCTAGATTTTCTCACAGTACTCGTATCCTGTATCATTGTTTCTGACAGATATCATACATCAATGCAGGGGGGATCCAGTGTATGAGCCAGTGCCACCTGTTGTCCTGCTTGCTTCAGTGTGCGGAGAAAAAAGGCAGCTAAGTTGACAGGATTTTTGGGTTAAGGATTGTTACTGAAGTCGAACGTACAGAAGCTGCAGCTGATTACAATGCACAGCAAACAAAACCACCAGCCCCGGTGATGGAAACCGCGGGGAGGGCATTCACATTTGGGTGGGGTAGGGTAGACGAGGGAAAAATTGAAAGTGGAAGAAGGGATACTTCTGAGTATTAAGTGTCAGTACAAGCCAGCCACTTTAGCGAAAAGGTTGTGCGCTGCCAGACTCACCACAGTCATCGTCATCATCATCAGATGTAAGAGCCTACTTGCCGTACAGTGGTACAGGCTTGTTCATCAACAATTTGGGGAGGCGGGTAGGTAGCTACGCATTGAAGGCGGGTAGCTGATGAATAGGTGCGAAAATACAGGTCTGTCAGTGGATTTTTAAGTGAGGGGAGCTATGCATTGAAGGCAACAGGTTGGATGCACGAGTGCCATTGAGGGGGCGACCGCACCATGCCTGACAATGTCTTCAACCATCGATTTGGTCCGTCTCGGGGTCCCCATTCAGGGAGACGGCAATGACCAGCGCAGCTGAGTTCGCTCGTACTGGCTTTCACACTTCGCTGCCAAGTCATTGTTTGACCGCCTCTGGCTCTCTTCCACCCTTCCCGTGGTTGTGCGAAAGGTATAGAGTGTGATCAGTTCATCTATCGAGGGTGAGTTATTTCTTCCGAAGATAATTCGACCTACTTCAGCATTACTGATCCGGTGTTCACACCAAACTCGGGTAATGCTCCGAAGACCTCGATGGTCAAACAGTTTTTTGACGTCCTCGGCAGGCAGGTTTCGGACCCGTGTATTAATACGGAGGGACCCTTAATCGATAAGCGGATGTCACAACTACGCCACGGGTGATGCCCTGGGAAATAGCATCCTTTTCGAAAACACCGAAACCGATACAGCTGCCTAGGTAGACAAACTTGTTTACTACCTTAAGTGGCTCATCCGCAAGCATGACACTAGAGTTCGAACCCACACAGCCCTACAGTAGCACTTTACACTTTGCACGTGTGAACAGCATGGCTTGATCAGAATCAAGTGGTGTGCCCCAGAAGGAACGGCAGTCTTGAATTGTGGCTCTCCACCGGTGGCTGATGGCCACGTGGTCCAACTGGGTCCACGGTTGATTTGTAGTTGGTAACCGCCAGGTTACGCGATGCGAACGTTTATGTTGAAAGTTCGTACTTGCCAAAAACAGTTCACGGCCAGCACACAACTGAAAAAGTCGATCTCCATTGTTTGTGCGGCGAGCATGGACCGCCCAAATGTGATCCCAAGGAGCTAAGACGGCCTACTTGTGTACTCACACCGCCTGCAAGGATCACAACGTCAGTGCTCTTTGCTTGACGAATGAGCCCGGATGGCTCTCGATAGAAGGTATCCTTCTCCGCATCAGAACTGCAGTCCGTTGGGGAATAAGCTGACAGGACAAACAGGCACCGCTTTTTATGCCGCGAGGCATTGAGCTTGATTGAACTGGATAACCGGATGGCGCAGAGACAACTGTTCACTGGGATCCAATCCGGCAAAGCGCGTTCAG